TTGTATCCCCAGCAACTTAGTACCTTGTCTTGTTGGTACAGAGTAAGTCCTTAAAAAATGTTTGTTAATTAGGTGATAGATATATCAACACTGAAAGTTTCACCTGAGGGTTTCCCTTGAGTGCCTCCTAGACTAGAATTTAGTGATGTGTAAGATGCTCATCTGAGTTCCCCTCTAAGTGGGTTCTGTTACTAAAGGAGACAGAGGAGAGAGAGACACACACAGAGAGACAGAAAGAGACACAGATATATATATATAGAGAGAGAGAGAATACATTTTAACCTAAGTAGTTACCAGTGAAAGCCCCCCAAATAGCATTACGTCAATGCTTTGGTATTCCCTGCAATTATCCATCTAAGACAAGGGTTCTTTTTTTTTTTTTAGGCCTTTTAAAAATTTATTTATTTATTTTTAGTTTTCAACATTCACTTCTATAAGATTTTGAGTTCCCAATTTTCTTCCCATCTCTCCCCCACCCCCAAGATGGTGTGCAATCTGATATAGGCTCTACATATACATTCATATTGAACCTATTTTCATATTAGTAAGACAAAGGTTCTTTACCTAGGATCTGTGAATTTAAAAAAAAACAGATAACTATTTCAATAAAATTAGTTTCATTTGTAATTCTATGTGTTTTATTTTATGCATTTACAAAATTATTCTGAGGCGGGGCCCATGACATAAAAAAAGTTAAGAACTCCTGATCCAATAGAAGAAAAAGGTAATTCCTTTGGACAGCAGCTGACTAGGATAATGCTAAATGGTCTCCTCTAGGCTACCTCAACTGGTCTAACTATGGTTAAAGACCTACTTCAGAAACATGAGCTAATTTCTCCAGGTCTCACCAAGGTGTTGTTTTGGTCATAGAAAATGCTGGTGCTTGCAGTGATCTACCTTTATCTAGGCTGAGGAAATTGATAGGAGCAGTAGAGGCAGGTAATAATTTTCCACTTAAGTGACCCAATAAAAGTCATTTAGAAATCCATTTCGGGCCTGTGGTTGCATAAGGTTTAGTTATGTTTTGTGACTAATAGGCCTGATGCAAAATGAAAATTAAATAGAAAATCTTCAACCTAAGTTAAAATGTAATCTCCTGTTGGACTGTTGTTAATCAAGAAATGTCCCCAGTGGTCAGTAGGAACAGAATATGACTTTCATTTAACAATGATGGCAAAGGATAGGAGTTATGGCCCAGCTTCAGACCACCATCGCAACTGTGACAAATGACAGATGAACAGGAGACCAGGAGACATGGTAGCACACATAGTTGCTACATTTAATCATCCTTGCCTGATTGAGTAAGTGTAAAGAGCGGGGAAAGTGAAACCGAAATGTGAACCTTCATCAGTGTTTCTGAACTGAGACATAAGATAATCGAATTAAGAGCTGGCAAGGGCCTTAGGAGTCATCTCAATCAAACTTCACATTGCACAAAAGAGGAAACTGAGGTCCAGAAAAATGAAGTGACTTCCTCAAGTTTTCAGTTTTCATTCCTTGAATTCAAACCCAGGACCCCTGACTCCACAGTCAGTGTTCTTGTCACTATGCCACCCTGACCCCTGTTTTTTGCTGTTGTTTTAAAGTAAACCAAGGCTAAACAACACTTATCCAAAATGTGTTCCAGAATGTAGAGTGTTACCATACAGATGAAAGGCAGCTGGCTGGATAGAGCACTGGATCTGGAGTTAGGAAGAGCTGAGTTCTGATCTGGCCTCAGATAGTTACGACCTTTGTGACTCTGGGCAAATAATTTAATTTCTATTTGCCTCAATTTCCTCATCTGTAAAATGCGGATACTAACAACACCTGCCTCCCAGGGCTGGTGTGAGGATAAAATTAGATATTTGTAATGTGTGTTGTACCTTAAATTGCTATGTAAATTTTAGCTATCATTATTCAGATAGTTAGGTGGCACAGTAGATAGGGTACACCTGGAGTAAAGAAGACCTGAGTTCAAATCCAAGTTCAGACACTTAATAACTGTGTAAATCTGGGCAAGTCATTTCACTTCTGTCTGTTTCAGTTTCTTCATCTGTAAAGTGGGGATAATGATAGCTATATCCCATGGTTGTTGTAAGCATAAAATGAGATAGTATTTGTAAAGTACTCCTTGAACCTTAAAAAGCTACATAAATTCCTAGCTATTACCATTATAATCATCATCATTATTATTGTGAGAAGTCATGAGAATGAGAGCCTTAAATAGGATCATGTGGAGGGAATAGGCTGAGGAAACGCTAACACCATAAGGCACATGAAAGAAAATGCACATGTTAACTTAAATAGTATTAATAGTTCATATCTATAGTCTCTATTTCAAAGAAGAACTATTAACCTCTCATGAATGACTGTCTCCTCAAAGAAAAACATACAGGATATTGGACATTGTAGTTTGAGTCAAGAGCAACTAACCTTGAGGGGGATAAGCAACATGTAAGAAAGAACCTATTCTATACCCATTTGGAATTAACAAAGCTTTCCTTTAATTTCTTGGGTTCTTTAGTCCTGTCCATTGTACTCTGTGCATATATGCATGATCAAAGGTTGAGGTTTTGTCAGTTCAGCAGTCACTTGGTCCAATGCCCTTTTTATCTGGGGCAAACACCAGAGCATCCAGAGGGCTAAAAGACACAGAGAAGCATACTAATGAATGTCATTATGCCACCTAAGCCACAAGCACAGAATATCAGACGAGTTGTGTGACTGCTTATGTGACATTGGCCTTGGAGTCAAGGAGACCTGCTAACACTTACTAGCTGTATGACCATAGGCAAATGACTTACCCTCTCTGACTCTCAGTTTCCTATTTTGTAAGATCAGGACACGGACTGGGTCTGTGATTTCACTGGTATATGAAACCCTTGGCTGAGGAAAATGCCTCTACCCATGCCAACCCAACCCTTCTCTTCAATTTGTAGTTAACTTGCCTAAAACAGGAGTGTCAAACTCAAATGGAAATGGGGCCACTTAACCATACAAGAGGATCCCTTTGGACCACATTTTGACTTAGAAAACCACATTAACTATGTTCTCCTGTATTTTTATTTATTTTGTTAAATATTTCCCAATTACATTTTAATCCGGTTCAGGCTGCATTCAGAAGAGTGTTGTGGCTGCAATGTGGCCTCCTGGCCACATGCTTGACATTTCTGGCCTAGATCTCTAAGAGTTTGTTGGTATGCCCAGGGTCATGTCACCAATAAAGTGTCAGAGACAGGACTCTGACTCAGGTCTTCTTGGCTTCAAGGCCAACTCTCTACCCAGTACTCCATGTTGAATTTCATCTGTAAAATGGGGATAATAATACCAGTCCAACCTACTTCACTAGGTTGTTTTGAGGTTCAAATGAGATTTTATACATAAAGGGTTTCCCAAAATCTTTAATAGCTTAAAACTGCACTAAGACTTTTGGGATACCAAGTGCATATGTATCAATGTATATGTATATATATACTCACATGCACACACATATGTGTATATGTATATCATGTTATACAAATGTCACAATATCATGTTGTTAGAGCTGGAAAGGACCTGAGAGGCCATCTAACCCAATCTTTTTGTTTATAAATAAGAGAACTGAGACCCAGGGAGAGACTTGCCCAAGGTCATGTAGGTGATGAGCATAATAGGTGGGATTTGAACCAATCTCACTCTAGAACCAGTGTGCTTTCTATAATATTAACATAGGTAAAGAAATGCTACAATGTGACTCTTCTGATTTTCAGTCTGACATATCAGCCTCTGCTGAGGTTTCGTTTTGGAAATCCAGGTCAAATATTTCTCTCCTTGGACTCTGCTTCCACTGTAATAGTTGGCTACCATGCTAGAACATTTCCATACAGTCATGTCAACCCCTATCTTCAACTTCAGCTGCATCAAAGGAAAGAGGTCTTTTTCATGAACCATTTGATCTTGGGTGTTTGCAGATTTGGTGCTCCCTGGGCCACTGTCCTCAATTCTGCCCTCCTGCTCTTTATAACAATGTAATCTACATCTATTTCCTCTTCTTTCACTATTTCCAAGTAGTCATTATTAACAATCCTTGTTCTACAGACAAAGCCACTGTGACTGAAGAAACCTACCTTCTATGCCTGTGGTCACAAGAAAAATCAGTGATGCTACCTCTTTACTTCTCAATACTGCTCTAACCATTAAATAACACATTCTTTTCATTTCCACACACCAAGCAAGCTGATTTTTTTCTGGTCTTGCAGTTCTGGTCAAAATGGAGATCAAGAGCAAGAAAAAACTTTGGCATTAAATAGCAATCCTGTGAAAACTTTATTGCCTACAGATCAGATGTTGACGTGACAAGGCAGGACAATTATCAGATTCCTATAAATGTCATCACCAAAACTTTGTTCTCAGCCTTGGGCAGGTAGGTGCCTGAGGACTAAGCGTAAGAACTTCTAGCTTCCTTCCCACACGGCAACAAAATCATCAGAGCAAAATCTTTTGCCCTTTTCCTGCTTCACCCAAATTTGCAGAAAGGATCCCTTTACTCATTATTAAACAGAAAGTAAACCTATCTCCAGTAAAGAGAGGGCTACCACTTTCGTACATTCCCTTCCAGAGGCTACTTGCCCAGTATCGGTAACTCTGAATACTCCTTTTTCATTGGAATCCTTGTGAGGCCCTGGAAGCTGTGACATGTGATGCAGAGCACTGGGAAGCCTGATAACCCAGGCTGTTCAATCCTCTGGAGAACAGTATGTAACACACACCTCCTGAGCAATAGGAACCTCACAGGGAACCAATCTTTCATAGAAACTTTTGTATTTTCATTGAATAATGAAAGCAGTTGTGATTCTCAACAGACCAGCTCCAGGGTTGTTTCATCACACTTGCTGATTGTGATGATAAGCACCTTCCCCACCCCACCCCACCCCCCACTGTATCTCCCTACTCACTTCAGAATACATCACTCTTCATTTCTGACATTTTCTCTAAGTTCAACCCTCTCCTGATGAAAGGAATTAAAAGTCACTACTTACCAACATAGGTCCACTTTGATCCTGCAAAACAAAATTAAAACAAGTAAGTACAAGTTAAAAGAATAGACAATTTTTAATATTGACAAAATATGACCTGGGGGGGCATTATAGCTGTTTTCAAGTATCTGAAGGGCTCTTCTGTGGAAGAGGTTTAGACTGGTTCTACTTGGCTCCAGAACTAAAAGCAAAGCAATCAATGGAAGTTTCACTGAGGTAGCTGTAGGTTTGAAGTGAGGAAAAACTTCCTACAGTTGATGGGAAAACTTACCATGATACAAAAGTGGAATGGGCCACCTGTCTAGGAAGAAATACTACTAATAATAACAAATTTTCTTTATATAGCACTTCAAGGTTTGCAAAGCACCTGACAATTATTATGTCATTCCATCCTCACAACAACCTGGGGAAGTAGGTGCTATTATTATCCCCAATTTACAGATCAGGAAACTGAGGCAGGCAGAGGGTAAAGTGGTTTGTCCAGAATCACATAGCTAGTAAATGTCTGAGGTCAGATTTGAACTTAGGTCTTCCTGACTCCCGAGTGTAGTGCTCCATGCATTATATACTATCTAGCTGTCCCTTCGCTAAGGTCTTGAAACAAAGGCTAAAATGACATTTGCTAGGTAAAGGTAGGAAGAATTCTTGTCCAGGTTTGAATTGGACTAGATGACCTTTGAGGAACCTCACAACTCTAAGATTCTATGATTTTGTGAGGTTCTCAGGACAGAAAATTTTGATTCAATTCAACAAATGTTTACTAAGGGTCTACTAGGTTCAAAGCAATATGCTGGGTGCTTGAAATTTTTTTTCTTTTGTTCTGGACTTGGAATTTCATTGACATAGGGAACTTCTCATAAAAGAACTCCTTCAACTAATGTAGACTAGCCAATGGTCTCCAGTTTATCATCTTCTCAATGCCTGGAGCAGTGAAAAGTTAAAGTGACTTGCCCAGGGTCTCACAGCCAGTATGTGTCAGAAGCAAAACTTGAACTCAGATCTTCCTAACTCCAGCACTGGTGCTCTGTCCTCTAGCCTCTCAGGCTCCAGGAATATAAAAAACAAAAATGAAATGTCTATCCTCAAGCACCTTCTATTTTAATGGAAGGGAGGAGGAAGGATTGATACAACATGAATACAACTCTATATATATAAAGTAATTCAAAATAATTTTGTGAGTGAGAAAATATTAATACCTGGGGGAAGGAGGAGGAATCAGGAAAGGCTGTATTTGGGAAGCAACACCTGAGCTGTGCTTTGAAGGAAGCCAGTGATTCTATGACATGGTGAGGATGTTTGTCAGAAGATGTATTCCATACGTGGAAGAGCACTCCTGAAAAGGAGGTGAAGAACACCTGGCAGGCAAAGTTTGACCAGGGTATTGGGTGTGTAAAAGGAAATGATATGGAATAAGACCTGAAAGGTAGGTGGGAACCAGATTTGGCAATGCAGTGCCAAGGCTAAGGATCTTTTTTTATTTTATTTTATTCAAGAGGCAAGAGAGAATCATTGGTGATTCTGGAGTAGGGTGAATACAGGTTTAGATCTATGTTTTAGGAATATCTATTTGGCAGCTGTATGGAGGAGATTAGCAACTGGAGATTGAGAACTGACCTCTAAGCCAGGAAGACCTGGCTGATGCATATTGGATGTATGACCTTGGGAAGTCACTTAACTTCAGGCAGCTCTCTGAGCCTCTAAATTGTATAGACGGTTACCAATCTGCATTAGTAGAAGAAGTTTCCTTACTTGGGAGTTCCCTATGCTAAGGAAATCACAGGTCTGGTCCCTATCCCTATGCAAGGATAGACTGGAGAAAGGAAGAGATGAGTGGAGGCAGAGAGACCAAACAAGACATTATTACTACAGTCAAGTCATGGTGAAGGCCTGAATAAGGGTAAGGCTTGGGTGAATAGAGAGGGGAGAGATGGTATAGAGGTAAGATCAACCCCTAAGACTTGGTAACTGATAAGAAGTAAGGGCTGGAAGAGAGGGAAGGGTCAAGGATGCCTCCAAGACTGTAAAACTGGGAGCCTAGAAAGATGGCAGTGCTATCAACAGAGGTTTGGAAGAAGGATGGATTTGGGGAAAATATGGAATCATTACCACAATTCCACCTTGGATCATGGCAAATGTGAGTTGTCTATAGGACATTCAGATGGAGATTTCTAGCAGACAAATAATAATTATTTATATGTTGTCTCCTTCGTTAGAAGGTAAGCTTCTTGAGGGCTGATTTGGCCTCTCTTTGAATCTCCAGTGCTTAGCACTGTGCCTGGCACATGGTAAATGCTTAATAAATGCTTGTGACTTGACTGAATGGAGTCTAGGATAGAGATTAGGCCTGAATATAGAGGGATTTGGGAGTCATCTATGCAAAGATGATCATTGAACTCAAGAAAGCTGATTAGATGATCAAGAGAGAAGACTAAGCAGGACCAACTTAATTTTAAAATAAATGAAGATGAAGAGTGATGCTCAGGTGTAGCAAAGTTTGTCTGCTTCTTTGTCAGATTAGCTATTCTGAATAAAAAAGTCTGCTTTTCCTGGGCCTCTAAATAGGAACCCTGTATCTGTTTGGTAGTTTCTGTCTTGACTTGTGAATAACTAGCTACTTGAGATCTTTTGAGCGGTAGCCTCAAAAGGCATTTCAGAGAATCTTAAGTGGGAAATTTTCACTTTCTGGTTACCTAGTCCTCCCTTCAAGGATTTTCCAGGGATAGTAGACTCTCAGTTTCACCACATATTTCCTGTGTGACCTTGGGAAAGTCAATTTACTTCTATGGGCCTCAGTTTCCTTATATATAAAATGAGGTGGGACAAGATCACTATTGTCAAACTCAAATAGAAAGGAGGCCACTAATCCATACATAAGGACCCCTGTGAGCCTCATATTGACTTAGTTTTAAAATGTAGTGTTTCTTATTTTTATTTTATTTTTATTTATTTTGTTAAATATTTCCTAATTACATTTTAATAAGTTTTTGGTTGCACTCAAGAGTATTTTGGGACCACATATTTGACACTTCTGGATTTGATGATTTCTAAGGTCCCTTTCAGTTATATCAATCTAACTAAATGTAACCCCCAATTGCAAAGAGTTCTTGTAGCCTATAACTAGGGATCTACAGAAAAATCCTGCCCACTATTATTCCTTCCATTAAGATAGCCTTTTTACCACTTTGACTATCCCAGCCTTCGGCCTTTCTTTCCTTTTTTCCCCTCATTCTTCTGACATCTATCCTATTGATCAGATTACCTGTAGAAGAAGAAAGCCTTGTTTCTTCCATATTTTAAAAAGTCTTCATATCTTCAGCCATTCTTTCTTCCTCCTTTTCTGTCCTATATTAAGAGGTCATGCTCCCCCTCCGCTTACTGAAATCAGTCCATACACCCTTGCCCTTGATCACATTCCCCAAAGCCTCTTCTCCTTCCTTTTTTTTCTTACTGCCATCTTTGATTTCAAATCCTCGTTACTTCTTGCCCGGACATTTAAGCAACCTCCCAGCTCATCTCTCTGCCCTAATCTCTTCCTCCTACAAATCACCCTACATGATTAAGATGTTACCTAATTACCAGGTTACTCTTTCTTAAATAGGATCCCATCACTTCCTTGCTCAAAGACTTTCCCTAACTCCCCACTGTTGACCGACTAAATTCTATACTCTTTAGTGTGGCATTAAAGGCCCTTCATAATCTAGTTCCAACCTATTCTTCTAGCCCTATTTCCCAATATTGCCCCATTATACAACTGCATTCCAGAAAAATTAAGTTAATTAACATTGCCCCAAACATCATATACTTTCTTAACATCATACCTTTCCTAATGCCTAGACTACCCTTATCTCTGCCCACCCCATCTCCATCTGTTGAAACCCTAGTCATGCCTGAAGCTCAAATGTTATCCTCTTCATGAGGCCTCCCTTGCCTTCTCTTAATTTGAAAGGGTGTTAGGTGAAGTGGTTGTGGAGGAAGGGGAGAAGGTGGCAGGAGGCAGGAGAAGTAAAGTGAAGCTTGGCCTGGCATTTCCTGAAATAGTGTTCCTGGAGAGTCAGTCAACAACCAGGAAAGCAAGGCTTCTCTCTTCCTCCTTAGGACAGATATTGGAGTGGCCTGGGGGTTGCTGTGAATTTAGATGGACAGCATTGGGCTGAGTCTTCTTTGTGGATTGGGAATCAAACTAAGTTTCCCTAAGAGCAGTTCTGCAGACTTTGGAGATGGAATGAGATTGGCCTTGTGATTCTGTCAGCAAATGGTCCCAGTAACAAACTTCTCATACCGATGGACAGCCGTACCTTCTCTACAGCTTGTTGTAGAGAGTTTTCTGGGGGCATTGAGAGGTTAAAAAGACTTGCCTAGGATCACACAGGCAATGTGTGTCAGAGGCAGACCTTGAACCTAGGTCTTTCTGTATTCACTGTATCCACTACACCAGGATCCCTCTTTCTACTGCCTTTATTCAGGCCAGATTGTTTTAGCTTCCCACTGTCATTAAAGAAGCGGTTGGAATTCTGGGGAAGCAAAACTTTTCAAGTGAGTTCCTATGGTTTACTGCCTACAGGTTCTCTCTTAGCAAAAATAGGGCCAAAGAACAAAGGGAAGAGAACTACCTGAGGGCTAAACAACAGGACACTCCCCTTTATTATCTTGTCTTATTCCCTGAACGTCTGCTTGCTTGTCTGACTAAGCATGACGGCAGTTTGTAGAAACATATGGCCGTTACTCTCACAAAGGGAGCTATGCAAAATTCCTATCAGGTGAAGCTTCTAGCCTAAGTTTCCATGAATGGCAAGGTATTTCTGCCCCGCTTTTCCCTGGGAGAAGCACAGTAAGTGCCGGTTACCTGGCCCTAGACCACCAAGTAAACAGCCAATTTTCCCCTGACGAGTCCATCCTTAGCCTGAGTGTTTTAATTGCACCTGCCACAAGCTAAATCACTGCCAGCAAGAGGATTGTTACTTAACATCTTTGGTGCTAACTCTCGAAGTTTCCCAGGTTGAGCCTTTTCTTTTATTGTGGCTCTC